TGAAGGACCAGGTGCGCAGCCTAGGAGTCATTTTGGACTTACAGCTGTCCATGGAGGCACAGGTCAATTTTGTGTCCAGGGCAGCCGTCTACCAGCTCCATCTGGTACGCAGGCTGAGACCCTACCTGCCCATGGAATGTCTTGCCAGAGTGGTGCGTGCTCTGGTTATCTCCCGCTTGGACTACTGCAATGCGCTCTATGTGGGCCTACGTTTGATGGTGACCCAGAAACCACAACTAATCCAGAAAGCGGCAGCTAGACTGGTAACTGGGAGTGGCCGCCGAGACCATATAACACTGGTCCTGAAAGACCTTCATTGGCTCCCAGTGTGTTTCTGAGCACAATTCAAAGTGTTGGTGCTGACCTTTAAAGCCCTAAATGGCCTTGGCCCAGTATACCTGGAGGAGCGTCTCCACCCCCATCGTTCAGCCTGGACACTGAGGTCCAGCACTGAGGGCCTTCTGGCAGTTCCGTCACTGCGAGAAGTGAGGTTACAGGGAACCAGACAGAGGGCCTTCTCGGTAGTGGCGCCCGCCCTGTGGAATACCCTCCCATCAAATGTAAAGGAAATAAACAACTACCTGACTTTTAGAAAACATCTGAAGGCAGCTCTGTTTAGGGAAGTTTTTAATGTTTGATGGTTTATCGTGTTTTTAATATTCTGTTGGACGCTGCCCAGAGTGGCTGGGGAGGCCCAGCCAGATAAGAGAGGTATAAGTAATTAATAATAATAATAATAATAATAATCCCATTTCTGAATGGAAACATGCATAAATAATATGGACAGGGAACTGATCGCTCCATTCATCCCTAAATGGAATCACCTCCCAGCCTCTGAGAGCACTGGAGGAAGTATTGGTCTTTGTGCTTTGCCATCTCCATTCTGGCACTTGCCACAAGGGATGCTTTGTTTATGGACAAAATGTGGGAGCATCCAGGATGTCACCAGGAAAAGGGCATTATTTGATGACTGATAGTAGAGAAATGGGAATGAATTGTTCATTGGCTGAAATTGAAGTCTCCATCCACCACACAAAAAAATCCACGTAGGAAAGTGGGAAAGGCAGCAAAGATCTGTATGCAAATGCATGCACAAATGGACTGCACAAACTCAATTGGTGTATGGCCAAACTGTTTTTTTAAAAAAGAAAATAAATCATTAGCATGGTCCCGTAAAGCAGATGTCCATTAAAGTCTATTATCAGGTTCCTTTTTCTCAAATGGATTTTTTTGGACAGGATAAAAAGGAGTGGGTCCAGAATCAACAGGATTGCAAAGATTTGCCCTTGTTCTGTCAAAAGGTCGTGATTATTGAAAAAGCTGCTCAAAGTAATTGAAGAAGCCCCATTCAGATAAATTCGGCTGTCCTATTGATGAGCTTTATCTTCATGGCAGGATCCTGATTGTTTTGGGGCTGTGAACTGGATTTGGCTGAATCCTGAACCAAACTGGGGCTCCCAGAGAGATGTGGGGATATCAGGGGGTGGGGTGTCAGATCAGAAGCAGCTTTGACTGCACTGTTCCCAGCTGGGGGAAACATGTGCACAAACTAAGCAGGACCAAACCCTTCATCACTACCTGTCTGGTGTGCAGGGGATTCAGGAGCTTGCCTTAACGCTATGTTCCTTGCAAGTAACACAAGTAGAGGCTCTTATCTTTAAGTAAAAATATATATCTTTATTCAGGCAAGCAACAGTACAGGCTGAACAGCACAAACTGCTCAGGAGTCATAATTCAGGATCAGAGGAAGAAATACAGAACTTTTTGGGAGGGGGGAGGAGGCACAGTCCCCTTTTGGGCTACTTAATGCAGAGGATGTGGCAACCAAAGCAATAGCAAAGCTGGAAAATAAATGCTTGCTTACCAGTGATGTCATGGCCCTGGAACGTGGTATGAAGTGGCATGAATTCATGTCCATTGTGACATCCAATGCAGTGCAATACGACCCACCTGATGTATTGGTTGTTCAGCTGGGCAAGAACGACTTAGTTCTAAGGAACGGGATTGACCTGACCTGGAATATCAAGGAGCGCTTTGATAGGCTTGTGGCCTTAATTTATTCTTAGCTATTGGAGAGGCATTGCTAGAGTGATTGCCCTGACCCAATGGCCGTCAACAGGGCCAGGAAGAAAGCTAATTGTGTGGTTGCAAAAAAAGGTGCAACAATTGAATGGCCGGCATCCCGCTATCATGTTTGACCCGGAGGACTTGTTCCGTAATGAAGGCGTACATCTTTCCGATGTGGAAAATGATATTTGGCTGGAAAGCATTGTAGAGGGCATTAGAGGTTGGTTGCAGGTGTGAGGGTGTTGGTGGTGAGCCATTTGGGCTTGAGTGGTGGTTAGGCATTGGGTAAGCCTTTGTTTAAGGGAGGGGAGGTTGTAGCCTCCACCTGCCCCTCCTCGATAAGGGTATCCTGTTAAAGGGATCTGGGGTTGTGGATTCTGTCTGAAGCCTGGGCATGGACCAGGGCCATGCCGCTACCACAACAAGGACCCATCGGGGTGCCCCTATTTGATGTAAGTCATAGGGCTTCCCCTTCTCATGGTTTACCCTTAGTTCAACTCCCTGCAGACAGGCAGAATAAAGATATAGCCTGGTTTCACCCAACACCTAAGCCAAACCGCTCACATCTGTAACCAATAAAGTTGTGGCCTGTTTTAGCCCATAATCCAAAACACTTGTGTTGGTGTGTTTATTAATTAGTGGGGAACTACAGGGCATGGGGCCTTGGCACGCAATCCACATATGCACAGGAATCCTACAACAGCCAGAGGAGGTAGTTCCACCGCTTCGTCTGCTGTCCCACAATTTGTCCCCCGCACCTTGAGGTGACACTTCTCCCACTGGACTCCATGGATGACAGACTCCATGGAGGATAATCACAGAGCTAAGGAGCTTCCACTTGCTCCAAAAGAAAACATGTCTTTTCTACTGACCCTGGTTGTTCCAGTGTTTCCTATCGCCTTTCCTTGGTGGCAGATGTTACAGTGGATCACAACACCTACTGAAAACCAGCTTTATGTTGCTCTAATGAGCAGCTATTGAAGATGAAACATAATTTTATTTATGACACATGTATTTGGAAATCCAATTTCATTTCAGAAGGAGTGGTTGTTTGTTGTCCCCTCCTGGCATTTGTTTTCGAGTGCCAGAGAGACTGTAAGTTTTCCAAGCACATATTCTTTAATCCAGTGCATTAGAACCATTTTTCTATTTTGCTTGAGACAAAAAAATTATTCAGCCCAGTGTGGGATCATTTCTCCAGCTGGAGCATGCATACACACACGTCATAATAATACAGGTGTCACACAAACACAAACACAAACACAAACACACACACACACAGAGAGAGAGAGAGAGAGAGAGAGAGAGAGAGAGAGAAGGAAGGAAGGAAGGAAGGAAGGAAGGAAGGAAGGAAGGAAGGAATGTTCCAATAATTAAAACAGGAAGCAAGTGCCACGCTTGCTCAGATTTCAATTTTGCAGCTGCCTGAGGGGTAGGGAAGGACAGCCATTTCACACAGATACGCTGTTTGATAAAGTGTGATAAGGACTTAAGGGGGAAAAATTGGCAGATTAAATTGAAATGAAAGCAATGGATGTTTGCATTCCAAAAGCTATTAAGAAGCAGTTCAATTGAACAGCAAGGAATTTTCTGTTGCATGCACGAATGAACCAGAGTGAGAAGCACTTCAAAAATAGTGTCAGGGAAGGTCAGGAGTGGATTTTCTTAAAGCAATAACTTTTGTTTAAGAAACAATAAAATGCTGCACAGCTGAGGGTTGGAAAATCATCTCCACAATACATTATTTCTCCTCTTTGGGGGATATGCTCCATGTCATCTGAAACTATGTCCATACAGGGAAGCGAATATGCAAACGCAGCTACTCCTGCCACTGTGGAATGGAACTTCCAAATGTATGGGTAGTATATATCTGAATTCTAGCTATGAGCTGAGACAGCAGGGGATGGTTAGTGCCTTCATGCTTTGTTTTTGGACCTCCTGGGTGCTGGTGTACCTGGGAAAGAGCACCCTGAACTAGGTGGACCTTTGGCCTGATTCAGCAAGGCTATTCTTATATTTTACGACATACCACCTTATGCAGTGGCGGAGATCCAGCTGTAGCTGGGGTTGTGATTCTGCCCAGTGCACTTTTCTGTCGGGGAGGAGAAGACCCACCCACCAGCATAACTTCCCATGGATCTTTGTTTTCTTTAACCCAGCTGGTTCTGACAACCCTACTTTAGAGAGAAAAGCACAATGCAGGCTAAAAGCATTTAGTAGAGCAGCTGCGGGACATTTAGACATCTTCATGTGGCCCTTGGGGCATTCTCTAGGCCACACCCCTGCTCTGGATCCTTCTCAAGTAATTTTACCTCCTCGAGCACCTTCTTGAACCATGATAATGTGTCTTGCTTTTAGTAGCCTCTGACATTTGCATGGCTGGAAAGTACTGTACAAAAGTGCCATACCCATTTTTGCTTCTGGCCTCACCTACCACTGGCACAAGGTGCTCAGTGTGGTGTAGTGGTTAAGAGCGGTAGTCTCGTAATCTGGGGAACCGGGTTTGCGTCTCCGCTCCTCCACATGCAGCTGCTGGGTGACCTTGGGCCAGTCACACTTCTCTGAAGTCCCTCAGCCCCACTCACCTCACAGAGTGTTTGTTGTGGGGGAGGAAGGGAAAGGAGAATGTTAGGCACTTTGAGACTCCTTGGGGTAGTGATAAAGCAGGATATCTAATCCAAACTTCCTCCTCCTCCTCCTCCTCCTCCTCCTCCTCCTTCTTCTGTTCCCTGTGAGGGAATGCAGCCCTTGAGCTGTAAGATGTCCTCCACCCCTGCTCAAGGGCCACAGCACCAGTAATTCAAAAGGCCAAAGGACAGTCTGAACATCTTCTGAACATCACAGTTCTATATTCATTTACCTACAGTAGATGTCAGTCTTACTGAACTCAGCGATACCTACTTTGGAGCCGGCAAACATAGGATTGCTGTGTAACTGTCCAAATCACCAAGCTTTATGCAGAATGGTTGAAGGTGCTAGGTATGCTTAACCTGGAAAAGAGGAGACGGAGAAAAGATATGATAGCCATCTTCAAATATTTTAAGGGAATGGAAGAGGGAGCATGCTTGTTTTTTCTTGCTCTGGAGGGTAGGGCACGTACCAATGGCTTCAAGTTACAAAAAAGGAGATTCCGACTTAACATCAGTAACAACTTTCTGACAGTAAGAGCTGTAAAATAGTGGAATGGACTCCCTCAGGAGGTTGTGGACTCTCCTTCCTTGGGGGTTTTAAAGAAGAGTTTGGATGGCCATCTGCCATGAATGCTTTAGCTGAGATTCCTGCATTGCAGGGGGTTGGACGATAACCCTTGGAGTCCCAACTCTACAATTCTATGATTCTATAATTCTATGGTTCTATATATTAACAAGCAACCCTTGTGTGTGTGCATTGGGTTCTAAATTATTATAATTTTTTTTAAATGATATTTATTAAAGTTTCAAAGAAAAAATTACATATATAAAAAAAGAAAAAAGAAAAAAGAAAAAGAAATAAAAAGAAAAAATACAGAATACAAAATACAAAAAAAGATAAAAAACACTTAAAAAAACAAAAACACATCGATCTTTCCATAACTTACATTTCATTTCCTTACTTCCCTGACTTCCTCACACCTCCCTTTTTTGTATTCCAGTTCTATTAGTTAATTCAGCAATTCCTTTCCCTCTTTGTTTTTGTCTTAATCCTTTAATTTAACATATTATAACTTTAGATTCTCATCTGTTAACAATCCATTTGTACATACACCTTTATAACATTGCTGCTAAGACCACTTAATTTCATTCTGACATCATTCTAACATTCATTAATTTTGCAATATTTCTGTAAATAGTCTTTAAATTTCTTCCAATCTTCTTCCACCGACTCTTCTCCCTGGTCTCGGATTCTGCCAGTCATTTCCGCCAATTCCATGTAGTCCATCATTTTCATCTGCCATTCCTCCAGTGTGGGTAGATCTTCTGTCTTCCAATACTTTGCAATAAGTATTCTTGCTGCTGTTGTAGCATACATAAAGAAAGTTCTGTCCTTCTTTAACACCGATTGGCCGACTATGCCCAGGAGGAAGACCTCTGGTTTCTTCAAGAAGGTATATTTAAATACCTTTTTTAATTCATTGTAAATCATCTCCCAGAAAACCTTAATCCTTGGGCATGTCCACCAAAGGTGAAAGAATGTACCTTCAGTTTCTTTACATTTCCAACATTTGTTATTGGGCAAATGGTGGATTTTTGCAAGCTTGACTGGGGTTATGTACCACCTATATATCATTTTCATAATATTCTCTCTTAAGGCATTACATGCCGTGAATTTCATACCTGTGGTCCACAACTGTTCCCAGTCAGCAAACATTATGTCATGTCCAACATCTTGTGCCCATTTAATCATAGCAGATTTAACCATTTCATCCTGAGTATTCCATTTCAACAGCAAGTTATACATCTTTGACAAAATCTTAGTTTTGGGTTCTAACAGTTCTGTTTCTAATTTTGATTTTTCCACCTGGAAGCCTATTTTCTTATCCAAATTGTATGCCTCCATTATCTGATAATAATGAAGCCAGTCTCGCACTTTGTTTTTTAGTTTCTCAAAGCGCTGCAATTTCAGTCTATCTCCCTCTTGTTCCAGAATTTCCCAATATTTCGGCCATTTGGCCTCCATATTGAGCTTTTTCAGAGCTTTCGCTTCCATCGGGGTTCTAAATTATTTCCACAACAGGGAAAAATGATTTTGTGCAGTGCCCACCACCAAAGTAAAAGATTTGAAACTTGGAACATGGAATATCAAGGACCTCTTTGAGCTTTCCCCTATATCAGGTATGGCTGTGTTCATAGCTGGATGTGCAGTCCACCTCTGAACAGCCCATAGAGCACTGCGGGGTGGAAGGCTCCTGGATGAAAGCCTCTGCTATAAGTGGCTCCTCATTCCTCAGAGATTTTCAGTCCTTTCTCTTTCTTTCTCCCTTTTAACCTTACCCCAATCATCTTCTTCCCTGTATCTCTTTCACTCATTCCTTACTGCTGTTACCCCCTGATGGGCTACATCACAGCTATAATGCAAATCCTGGAAGGGAACATGTCTATCGTTCTTCCTATTAACTACACTCCCCACAATCTCTGGAGTATAATCTTTACTTAAAAGCTACTTTGATCAGCTTCAGGCATCTTCTTCTTTTCTTTCCTCTCTCTCTCTGCCTCCTTCTGCCCCTTACTCTTTCTTTGTTCTCACTTCTATTCTCTTCCTTCTCCTCCCGTATCTTTCTTCACTTCCTCCTCCTCCCTAGATATAAGCAGTTCCCCTCTATTCTGTTTGCATCCTGACATTCCAAAGCATTTTGGGGCTTTGCTTCTTTGAGATTGTGGTGGGAGATTGAGGGATTGTAATAATAATAATAAATAATAAAATATCAGGAATGTGGCCTTGCAATTGTTGTACTCCAATCCACATCAGTCCCAGTCAGCATGGGCAATGGCTGTTGAATGGTTTCTTTAAATGTAAAGGTTCATCATTGTTCCACCCGATGTGTATGTCTTTAAGGGGCCAGAGCAAGGGCCAGAGCAAGATAACGAGACCCAGCTTTACAGCTGTGAAACATAGCAGGTGCTGCTGAGTTGAATTGATTAAGCTGTGTTGGCAATTGGGTGTAGTATATAAGGAGCAGCACCTAGCTCTCCCATTACCCTGGGGGATGGGTTGGTGGTTGGGTCTGGTTTGTTGTTGATGTATTTAGTGTATAAGGAGTTTTTGTTTTTGTAATTAAAACCTTGTTTAAGTTATTTTTGAGTCCCTTTTTAATGCATGGTCTCCCCAGCAAGCTCTCTGCAGCGCTACCATACTGCAAAAAGCCAACAATGGCTAGAAATGATGGCAATTGTAATCCAATGACATCTCTGTTTACCAATCCACAGGATTACGTGCATGCAACCTCACTCCATAATCACCACCACCACCAATCCTATTTGATAATAGCTATTCAAGGATGGTTTCAAATAGAGCCAAGACATGGCTGGAATCATTTACCCTGTTTTGCTAGCATAAGCCAACACAAGAACTCTTGCTAGTGCAATGGTGTTTTCCCACTCTCCTTCCCTGCCTTATCCACTTGAACCTTCCTCAGATCTGCTCTGGAGTGTTGGGAGAATCCTTGGAACAGCAAGCAGGAGGAGGAGAGAGAGGTTTGTGCATTATGCTGAATCCTACCCATAATCAATACACAAGAGAGAGATATCTAGAGGCTTAGTGGAACCTGGTAGGTAAGCACTGGAACTCAGTGGTCAAGCATCTGCATACAGGCTCAAGCCTTGGCATCTCCAGATAAGTCCATCAAAGCAAAAGCACCAAATCTGTAGAGGCACCTTTGATATGCCAAGTCCTACTCTTCTTTTCTCTCCCCCTATTTATTCTACCAGCTTTCCAGGTAGTAGAAGTTATTGCATGCAGGGCAGAGTGAGCCCATGGAACAATTAAGGGGCAAGTTTGTGTGTGTGTGTGTCCATTTATTTCTACTTCACAGTTGTATCTCAGCTCATTAGTCTCTTGGCCTTCTCTCCAAGACCTGTCCTCACTCTGTTGCTTCCTTCTTCAATTTATTTCCCATCTAGTCTTTTCCCTTCTTGAAAAATAACCAGCATCTCTCCCTCCCCCCCACCCGCAAAGTATCTGGTCCCCTCTGGTGTCTTACTGAGGCTTTGAATGATTGTCTTGATGTATTCCTCTTTTTATGCAACTTTTCATGAATTGCTAATACAAGCACCCTGCTGAGAGAAGCTTGGTCTGCTTTCCATACTAAAAAAGCCCACTTTCACAGGGGAGGATGTAGAAATGTATATCAGCTACAAGGTATATGCATCTGGCTAAGGTTGTTGGCAGTGAGGTGGGGCAGGGTGGAGGAGGACAAGTTGACTTTCTATTCATTTCCCGGATGCGTTCCTCAATAATGGGATGGACTTCCGGGCATCTTTGCATTGTAATGAGTCCCGCTAGCATAGCTTGAGATAAATGAAGCACATACATATGCAGCTATAATCCTTTATCTGTTAAATGGGTTTTTCTAGGCCAGTAGGCCTATATTTCTGTTGAAAGCGGCTGCTGCTCATGCACACCACAGGGTGTGCTCATGTCCCGTGTGCAAGCCACAGGGCACCTGCACAACACATCCGCATGCCCCACGACATATGCAAGTGATGCCAGCACATCACAGGGCATGCACGCAAGCCACAAGCACACAGCGGTATGTGCTGATGTCATGCACGCATGCTGTGGAGTGTGCATGCATGGTGTGCTGACATCAAGCAGACCTGGACCCCTCAATTGCGGGGGCAAGGCGGTGCGCATGCTGAGGACATCTTCGGTGCACAACAGACATCTTCGGTGTGCAATGCCCTCAGAGGTGGCCTATGACTAGTTTTATCAGCAAACCCTAGTGCTTGTGTTAATTAGAACTATCCTCTTTATAAATTCCTGACCTGCACAGTCTGCAACAGAATGCAATTGACACATTCATTTGGCAAAAGCATTGGCTCCTGCTTATTATTTCTGATATGCAGAGAAAAAAATAGAAGTTTGCCAGACTGAGAGACAAATTGCAAGCAGTGTTAACTGGGCCTATTAGCAGGCGATTCGACTGCAAACACTGGGATAGCACATTATAAAAAGGTGAGATAAGTCCTACTCTGGTAGTAATGGCAATTGTTTGCAGGAGTAAAGAAGGAATGCCTGCCTCAAACACAGCTGGTACAAGTCTGGACAGGCCTGCTTATATTCTGCGAGCTCTAGCTAGGGCCTCCCACAGCTCCAGTGTATACCAAGGCCACCATATTCTCCTGCACAAGAACTGTGCTGAATGCTTCACATGCTGTGAGTCGTTGAACATCAACGACTATCTGCAATATGTGGGAAGAGGGAAGTGGCTGTGTAGGACTCATTTCTTAGACTTCTGTGACTAAGATCAAGCATGTTAAAAGACAACGGCTACGTCTTCACAATGCATTAGTGGCCTCTAGCTTAGGAGGCTGTTGAAAGTAATGACTAGGCACACTCGAGAGGAGAGTAGGCCTATGCATGGCAGTTAGCCAAGAGAACTAGTAAAAAGAGAGAAAGAAAGAGCATCTCAATGTTCAGAATAAGGGTGGATCAGATGCCAGGGATAAGCAA